TTATGATGGGGGTACCGAGGTCCCTCCCCGTGCCCCCCCAGGGCCGTCTGAGCCCCGCAGGGTCTCTGCACCCCGAGTTGAGGCCGCAGGACTCGCGGTTCGGCTCCGCCCTGGGCGCGGTGCCCGACCTGAGCCAGGACGGGCTGGCGGGGGTGGCCGTGGGTGCCCCACTCGAGGACGGGCACCGAGGGGCCCTCTACGTCTTCCACGGGGCTCCGGGCACCCTCGTGCCCCAGTACAAGCAGGTGAGACGGCGCTGGGAGGGACTGGGAGGGACTGGGAGTGGGGCGGGGGGGAAAGCGCTGATCACAACCCTCGTTCCCAGCGCATCGAGGCGGCGGCGCTGGGATGGAGCCTCCGGTACTTCGGGATCAGCGTGGACGGGCGGATGGACATGGATGGGGACGGGCTGGTGGACGTGGCCGTGGGGGCGCAGGGGGCGGCCGTGGTGCTGCGGTGAGTCCTGGGGGGACAGGGACATCCCGGGGACAGGGACTCCGTGCTCGGTGTCCCCTCGTGAGACCCCGGGATGCTCCCGTGACCGTCCTGGCCCCCTCCCCGTGCCTCCCTTCCCCCTGGAGCAGCATCCCGGTGTCCCTGTCCCCGCCCCATCCCGCCTGTCCCTCAGGTCCCGCCGGATCGTCCGCGTGTCCGTGGGGGTGTCGGTGGAGCCGGGGGCCATCAGCGTCACCCGCAGGAACTGCCAGCGCGGCGGCTCCGGCGCCGTTTGCCTTCGGGCCCGGATCTGCTTCCGAGCCGGGAGCCGCGCCCGGAGCGCCGGGGACACCGATGTGGGTGAGTGCTGGTACGGGGGGGGCGGGGAACAGGGGTCCTTGGAGCATCCCTGGAGCATCCCAGAAGCATCTCAAAGGCCCCTGGAGCATCCCTGGGGCATCCCTGGGACGTCCCAGGGAGTCCTGGAGCATCCCAGGTTGGCCTTGGAGAACTCAGGAGTATTCCAGGAACGTTCCAGGGGCATCCCTGGGTGTCCCTGGAACATCCCTGGAGCATCCCTGGGTGGCCTTGGAACCCCCCGGAGCATTCCGTGGTGTCATCCCAGGGAAAGCATCCCAGGACTTCCCTGGAGCCCTTCCAGAGCATCCCAGGGGTGCATCCCAGGACTTCCCTGGAGTCCTGCTGGAGCACCCCCGGGTTCCCCTCACCCCCCCTGGGTGTGTCCTTGTCCCTGAGCCCCCCCTGCCCCCCAGATCTCCGGTACAACGTGTCCCTGGAGGAGCAGATCCCGGGATCCCGCGCTGCCTTCGACTCGGGGTCCCGCCGGCTGCTGCAGCGCCGGCTCGAGCTCCAGCTGGGCAGGCAGAGCTGCATCCGCGTCCCCTTCCACGTCCTGGTCAGCCCTGGGACCCCTCCCCGCCCTCTTTTCCCCCCCAAAATCCCTGGGAGCTGACAGGACCCTCTGATCCCACAGGATACCTCGGATTACCTGCGGCCCCTCGGCCTCAGCCTGGCCTGGGCCCTGGACAGAGCCACGGGGCCGGTGCTGGACGAGGCGTCTCCCACCACCCTCCGCAAACTGGTGGGTGCTGGGGGATAATGGGAGGGGGTGACCCGATCCTGGGATCCTCCCCAGGACGTTGGGATCACGCCCAGCTCCCGGCAGATCCCGTTTTTCAAGGACTGTGGGGAGGACGACGAGTGCGTCACCGACCTGGTGCTCCGCGCCACGGCGGACATTGCGGGCTCCAGGTACCCCCTGTTGTCACCCCCCCCGCCCCAGTGTGTCCTCCCCCCACCCGTGGGCATCCCTGGGATCCCCTGTGACCCCACGGATGGCAGGCAGAGCCCCCACGTCCTGCGGAAGGGCCGGAGGCGGATGCTGGTGCGGGTGGAGCTGGAGAACCGGGAGGAGAACGCCTACAACGCCAGCCTGTGGCTGCAGCTGCCCGGCAACCTGCACTTCTCCAGCCTCGTGCTCCAGGTACGGCCCTGGGGGGGACCCAAATCCCCAAGCAGACACCCCCCCTATTCCCCCAAAAACTCCCCAGTCCCACCAGGACTCAAGACTTGCAGGGAACCTCTCTGGGTGGTTCTTGTCCCAAGCCCTTCCAGGTGGGATCCGGGTGGGAGGGTTCATTGTGTCTCTTGTGGTAGCCCCCCCTGCCCTGGTAGCCCCCCAAGCTTCCCTCTGGGGGGGTCCATCACCCCTCTAACCCCCTTCCCGTGCCCCCCAAACCCCGGCAGGATCCCGGCTCGGTGAAGTTGGAGTGCTCGGCGCTGGGGGGGCACCGGCGGCGCTGCAGCGTCGGGTACCCCGTGTTCCGCTCGCAGGCCAAGGTAGGACCCCCCAGGACACCCCCCTTTTATCCCCCGAGGGACCCCCAAACCTCCATCTCACCCCCCTGAGCCCCCCAGGTGTCCTTCACCCTGGAGCTGGAGTTCAGCTGCTCCGTCCTCCTGGACCGTGCTGAGGTCACGCTCGAGGCCACCAGGTAGGAGAGGAGAAGTTGGAGGGGGCATGGAGGGGTCTGGGGTCCTCCCGACTGTGTCCCCTCCCCCCCTCCAGTGACAGCACCGAGGCCACACCAGAGGACAACCTGGCCCAGCTCTCCATCCCCATCCGCTATGAGCCCGACCTGTTCCTGTCCAGGTGGGGCTGTGGGGGGGGCGTGGGGTGGAGTGGGGGGAGGGTCACAGGGGGACAAGGCTCCCCTCGATGTGACACCCCCCCCTCCCCGTGTGTCCCCCTCCCCTGACTGGTGGCAGTGACACCAACCTGCACCGCTACGAGGTCCATCCCCTGGGCACCTTCGCCCCCGGCCCCGAGTTCACCACCACGGTCAAGGTGAGGGGTGGGGTGGGATGGGGTGGGATGGGGGGGAAAGGGAGTCCTGGGGGGGTCCTGTCTCATCGCGTGTGCCCTCCCCCCCCCTCCCCCCTCCAGGTGCAGAATTTGGGGTGTTACCCCGTGCAGAACCTCACCCTGCACATGGCCCTGCCCGCGCTGGGGCACGGCCGGGCCCCCATCCTGTCCGTCACCCGCGTGCTGGCCGAGGACAACGTGAGGCTCATTTGGGGGGGCTTGGGGGGGCTCGGAGGGGGTTTTTCACCCTCCCCTCTCCCTCTGACCCTCCCTTCTCCCCTCCCTTCTCCCCTCCCAGGCCACCTGCACGCTGCGCCCCCCCCCCGAGGGGACCCGGGTGGTGCCGGTGCCCCCCGAAGATCTGCTGCGTGTGGACAGGCTGGTGGGCTCTGTGTCCCTCCCCCCTCAAACCAGGGATTTTTTGGGGGGGTTCCCATCGCTCCCCCCTAATTTTGTGCCCCCCCAGGATTGTTCCAACACGTGGTGCCAGGAGCTGAGCTGCCGTCTCGGGGGGCTGGAGAGGGGCAGGGGGGTCTCTGTGCGCCTCCTGCGCACCCTCCACAACGGCTTCTTCAGCGGGGTGAGCCAAGGGGGGAGTGGGGGGGGATTACTGGGGACCCCCTCGCTCCAGGGAGGATCCTGGGGGATCATCCCCAACCCCCCCCTTTTCTCCCCTGCAGGCGAAATTCCGGAGCGTGCGGATCGTGGGCAGCGCCTGGCTGGGGGTCTCGGGGGGGCTCTTGGTGCTGGGGGAGGGGGCACAGCGCAGGGAGGTAGGACAGGACCCCCCCCCCCCTCCTCCTCCTGCCCCAAAATTCCCTGTTTCCCCCCCAATCCCGGTTTTCCCGCCCCTGCAATCCGTTGTTTTCCCACAGCTGGTGCTGGAGGTGCTGCAGGGCCGGAGGGTGCCCGTGTCCCTCTGGATCCTGGGGGGCAGCGCCCTGGGGGGGCTCCTGCTGCTGGCACTGCTCAGCCTCGGCCTCTGGAGGGTGAGGGGGGCACAGGGGCACCTGGGGGGGGCACATGGTCACCTGGGGGGTCATTGTCACCTGGGGGGGCTCCTGCTGCTGGCACTGCTCAGCCTCGGCCTCTGGAGGGTGAGGGGGGCACAGGGGCACCTGGGGGGGGCACAGGGTCACCTGGGGGGGTCACTGTGTCACCTGGAGGGGGATCAGAGTGTCACCTTTGGGGGGGTCACAGCATCAGCTGGGGTATCACTGTCACCTTGGGGAGGGTCCCAGTGTCCCCTGGGGGGGGTCCAATGACCCCCCTCCCCCCGAGGGGGTTCTTCCCACCCCCCCCTTAATCCATCCTGTCCCCCCTCCCCTCCCAGCTGGGATTCTTCTCCCGCCCGAAGCCGCCCCAGGAGGAGGAGGAGGAGCAGCAGCAGCAGCAGCAGCAGCAGCACTGAGGCCCTTCCCGATCCTTCAGGACATTCCCAGGATGCGTCCAGGGCCATCCCAGGGGGTTGGGGGGGTGTTGGGAATTCCATCCCAGCAGGATTGGGCTGGCGGGGGTTGAGCAGCGAGGCCGGAGCGGGGAGGAGGGAAAGGCAGGGAACGAGTCGGGATGGACGGACGGGAGCAGCTCCAGCAATAAAATTCCAGCCCCGTGGTCCCACCGGATCCCACATCCCTGTGTGTGTGTGCCCGGGAAAAACCTCTGGAATGACCCCAAATGCCACACGGGGTGGGGGGATTCAAATCTGGGAATTCACCGATAACACCCTGGAAAAGCACTGGGATGAACCCAGGATCTGTCTGGATTTTCCCAATCCCTGTGGATCCACAGGAACAGCTCCCAGCGGAGCAGGGACACCATTCCCAAATCCTGCAGGATCGCTCCCCCAAATCAGGAGTTTCCTTCCCCAAAAAAGCCTTTCCCAAGCTCCTCCCCTCCCCTTTTCCAGCTCCAAGGATCCCTTGGGAATGGGAATTCCTTGAGAAAGGAAGGCCTTTATTGGACGGAAGAGCAAAGAAAACGGGTGGGAATTAAATCCCCGTGGACACGGAGCCACCAACCAACCAACCCCAAGGGGTTTGGGAATGTCCCACCCCCTTCCCAGGAGAGGGGTCAGTGGATTCCAGGAGTCCGAGGATAATTCCAAGGATTAAAGACCTGAATGAAACTCCACGGAAATGGAGAGGGGGGGAAAAAAACCCCCCTCCCTCAAAACAACCAAAGAATCGGCAAAAATAAACATTTTCCTTAAGTTACGGGGTGGGGAAAGGGGGAAATTCCCAAGGGATGAGCAACGTGGTCCATAATTCCCGCCTGGAATGACTCGGGGCGAGGAGGGGGGAGGTTTGGACACACCTGGGGCCACAGGCACGACGTGGAAAAAAAAAAGGGGTTGGAAAAACCCAAAACAACCCCCTACCCCTCCCCCCCCAAAAAAAACCCCCAAAAAAACCCAAACCAGTCCAGGATTCTGGAGCTGCCAAAACCCTGCTCGGAGCAATTCCTGATCCCAGAGCGTTCCCAGAGCATTCCCAGAGCCCCAGGGTTGGGGGGTGGGGGGGGTGGTTCCTGAGGGTCCAGACCCTCTCCTGCCTCCACGATTTTCGAGACCCCGAGGGTTCCAACCCCGAGCGGGGCAAACAAATCCCTCCTGCCCGACAATTCCAGCTTCCCGGAGCGCGGGGAGATCCTCCCCCCCCCTTCCCAAAAAAACCCCTCTGTCCCACCCTCATTCCAGAATCCACTCCCTGAAACCCCCCCCAAAGCTGAGGAGGAAGGAGGCGGCTCCGGGGAGCGGGAGGAGAATTCCCAAAGGGGTGCTGGAGCCCCCCCCTAATTCCCGCTACTCGGGGTGGGGGGGGGGAGGGTTTCTTGGAATTCTCGGACAACGTACACCCGGAACGGGGGCTGCTCCGGCCTCGGGAGACCTCTGGAATGCTCCAGAACCTTCCGGGAGAGGGGTCAGAAAGTCCATGGCTCCTGCACGGGGCTGTCGGAAGCGTCGGGGTTGGGCGTTTGCCGGGTGGAATCTTCCCCCTTGAGGCTCTTCCTGCAGACGGGACACGTGTCGTGCTGGGGGGAATGAGGGGAGCATGGGATTAGGAAATCATGGAATCACGGGGTCAGCTGGGCTGGAAAAGCCCCCTGAGCTCAGCCAGCCCAGTCCGTGGCACTGATGTCACATCCAGTGTCACCCTCGACACCTCCAGGGAATGGAGGGGGGTGACTCCACTCCCTGCCTGGGCAGCCCCCTGAGCCCCTTCCCCTGTCCAGGTGGAGCCCCCCAGCCCCAGGCTGAGCCCCCCCAGCCCCAGGCTGAGCCCCCCCAGCTCCAGGCTCTCACCAGCTCCAGCCAGGGCACGATGCAGCTGCTGTGGAAGACGTGGTTGCAGGGGAGCTGCCGGACCTGCTCCGCCACGGAATAATCCTCCTTGCACACCGGGCATTCCAGCCCCGTGTCTGCAGGGGAAAACGGGGAATCAGGGCTCTCTAGGATCAGCAGAATTCCAGCTGCTCCTCCTTGGCTCCCCAGGAGAAGGGATGTGGAAATAAAAAAAACCCACGGGATAAAAATATCCCGTGTGGAACTGCCCGGTTTGACCATAATGGAGGGATCGGGTTCCGGCGTGGGAGCGGTTGGGACGGGGTGGGGTGCGGTGGGGAGGAAAAAAATCCCCGAGGTTTTTAATTGCAAAGCCAGGATTTGTTCCCAGGCACCCCCAGCTCCCTGCTGGCTGAGTTTTCCATGACATTTCCCGGCTGGAATATGTAGTGGGGGGAGAGCACAATCAGGGATTTGGGATGGCAAAAGGGAGGGGCAGGGGAAAGCATTTTCAAGGATTCCCGAAGCGCTCCGGAGGAGTTGAGGGATTCCTGGCTGTGGCAGCGGGAAGTGGCAGCTTCCAGAGCGGGGGGGAAAAAGCGGGAATGGGATGTGGAGTGACCCACCAACTTGTTCCTGCGTCACCGGCACCGTGGGCAGCGACGAGATCCTCTCCTTGTCGGCCGGCGGCGGGCCCGTGTTCTCCAGCTGCCCCAGGAGCTGTGTGGGATGGGAATTCCAGGCTCAGGAGCAGGGATCCCCCCTGCATACCCCCCCCAGCTGGCAGAGGGGCCCCTCACCTGGGTGACGATGGCGTCCAGGCCGCTCTGTCCCCACGCGTAGTCGCCGGGGTTGGAGTGCAGCATCCCGCTCCTGCCGGCGGGACAGCCCCGGCAATTCCAACCCCACATCCCATCCCAAACCTCCTCCCAGAGCCATCCACGCCCGGCCAGGGGGGGCTTACTCACCAGGAGAAGGGGTGCTGCGAGCCGGGCACCGCCGAGTTGGCGAAAAAGCCCGCGAAGATCTGCTGGATTATCCTGGGAAAGCAACGGAGGGAGAGGGAAGGGGGGAAAATGTGGGAAGAGAGAGTTAGGAATGAAAGGTGGGAATTTCTGCCCCCCTGTGGATGCGTGGCTGGAGGAGAATCTCCGGATAAAGCCCCTAAAAACAGAGGGACAGCGGGAGGGAATTAGGGAAGAGAGCTCATCCCAGGGCGGGGGGAGCCGGGAATGCCTCGGGTTCCAAAGGAAGGGGAAAAAAAGAGGGGAAAAAAAAAAGACAGGGAAAATCAGGGGAATAAAAAACATGGGAAGAACAACCCAAGGAATCCGGGCTGGGAGCTCATCCCGGCACTGGGAATGTGGAAATCCCCCGGGAATTGTGCCGGGGAAGTGTGTGTGTGGGGGGGGGGCTGACGGGAAGCACCGGGATCCCTTATTTCCCCCCCAAAATCCCTTCCCAAATCCCGTTTTTTCCCGGAGCACACACTCACCCCTCGATGGCGGGCGAGCGATCCGGGCGGGAGCTGCCCCGGGAGCGGTACCTGCGGCCCGTGGGCAGCCGGGGGGGGCGGCCGGACCCCCAGAGCTCGCCCGGGGGGGCCCTGTCGGCGTCCCGGCCCTCCGAGTCCAGGAAGGGCCGGAAATCCGGGAAGAACATCGTGTGGTCCAGGTGGTCCCAGAGCTGCAGGGGAGGCAGCAAAATCCTGCCAGCTCCCAGGAAAAAGGAGCTGCCGGGGAAGGCACCTCGGGAAAAGCCTCTGGATTTTGGGGGGGGTCGAAGGGCAGGGGGGACTCACCTCTGCGAACTGAGAGGAGGGGCTGCCGTCCAGGGAGCTGCCGTCGAAAAAACTGGGAAAAGGGGGAGAGTCAGGGCAGGGCCCCTTCCCAAAATCCCCTCTGGGATCCCAAAAATCCCCCCGAGCTCCCGAAAATGCCCTCTGGGATCGCAAAATTCCCTCCTGTGCTCCCCAAATCTCTGTTTTGTTTCCCGGAATATCTGCCCAGCCCTGGGACATCCCGGGATTCTCCCGTACCTGGAATCCTCAGTGACTTCCTCGATGAATCCGGACTCGCAGCGGGGACAGGTGTATTCCTGGGGGAGACAGGGACGAGCTGGGATCAGCCTGGGAACACTTGGGATCTCCCAGGGGGAAAACCAGCCCTGCCAGGGAGATTCCCAATCCCAATCCTGAGGGATTTGGGGGCTGAGGAGGGAATTTTCTCCAGGGGGAGGGGAGGAAAAGCTTTCCCTGTTCCCATTCCCAGAGTTCTGTCCCAGCCCTGTGGGTCGGCAGCTCTGTGGGATCTCCATCCAAACCCTTCCCAGATGCCATTCCCGCCCCAGAGCCCTCGCTGTGGATTCCCAGCCGGATCAGATTCCGGGGCCAGGCCAGGTGACACCTCCCGGTAACCCAACCCGGCAGCTCCGGCTTCATCCGCGGCTTTTGTTGCTTCCAGGACGCTCCAGCTTCCACCTTCCCACCCCCAGGCCCTGTTCACCCCTGGATCCTCATCCCAGGGGATCCCTGTTTCCTTGGGAATGCGCAGGACCAGCCCCACAGCCTCGATTCCACAATTTCATCCTGAGCAAAGCACCTCGTTCCAACCTATCCCATCTCAATTCCAAACCATCCCACCTAAATTCCAGACCATCCCACCCCAATTCCCAACATCCCACCCCGATCCAGTGTTATCCCCCCCACTCCCCCAATCCTGACCATCCCACGTCATTCCAGACTATCCAAACGTTTGGCTCTTCCCAGACTCCCTTCCCTCCTTCCCAGCCTTTTCCTTGCCCAAAAACTTCCTTCCCTTTCCCTTTCCCTCCCCTTTTTTTTCCCCTCCTAATCCCAGAATGCCGATGCATCCCTGGAAGCTTTGGAATGTTTTCCCCCCCCCACCATCACTGTTGGAATCCATATGGGAACTCTCAGCCTCCCACCCGGGAGGTGGAGGGAGATAAAAATGGCATTTGGGACGAATTTGGGAGGGAGAAAAAGGGAAGATAAAAAGGGAACAGAGAGTGTGTGGGATCCTGCGGATCCTTGGGATCAGCTCCCTGCTTTTCCCTGCCAGGATGGGGGGAATGCTCAGGGAATGGGATTATCCCAAATTTCAGTTCTCGGACTTGGGGGATGGAGTGGGGAAGGGGGATTTTGGGGTCGCCAATCCTGTTCCGTGGGGGGATTTTGGGGTCGCGCCGTCCCTGCAGGGTCGGGAGGTTTTGGGGGGGGCCCAGGATGGGGAGGGGACAGGATGGGGAGTCCCCTCTTGGCTGGGGGGGCCCTAAAGGGCTTTGAAAGGGCTGGAGGCACCGAAAGGTCGGGGATCGGGAGGGGGTCACCCCTTCCCGCAGGGATTTGGGGGGTGAGATCACCCCTGAGGGGATGAGGGGGGGATCACCCCTTCCTCTGAGGGCTCAGGGAGGGACTGGGGGGTCAACCCCGCCTGCCGGACCGTCCCACCCAGCCCGGCCCGGGGCTCACCGGCAGCTCGGAGCTCCCCCCGAGCCCCCCTCCCGCCCGGGGCTCACCGGTAGCTTGGGGCTGACCTCGCCCTTGCAGCTGTGGCAGAAGAACCGGTGCTGCGGCACCGCCGCCGCCTCCGCCATCTTGGCCCGCCGTCACTCCTGCGGGAGGGGGGGGCGGGCACCGAGCGCGGGCCAGAGCGGCCCGGCACTTCCGCTCAACTCGTCTGCTCCGCGCCCGCAGCCGAGAGCGAGGGAGGGGGGACAGAACGGCCCCGCGGGTGCGAGGAGTGCGCAGGGCGCCCGCTGGTGGGGAGGGGGTCTCCCAACGAGGGCGGGCGGCGGCGGAAGCGGCGGAAGCGGAAGTGGCCGGAAGCGGAAGTGGCCGTTGCCATGGCGGCGTTTGCGGCCTAGGCCGGGCCTGGTGGTGAGAGCGGGGAGGGTGTAGGACCCCTGAGGGGGGAGGAGGGGAGATCCCACCTGGAGAGGGGCGGGAGGGGGCGCCGGGATCCCCGTGACTCGCCCCAGGAGGGGACGCGGGTCAACATCTGTCCCCCCTCTCTGTGTCCCCCTCCCCAGCTGTTCTTTCCCCAGCCACGTTTCCCGGGATCCCCGGGAGCCACCGGGATGACGCAGGCGGAGCTGCGGCTCTGCTCCCTGCTGCTCCAGGAACACTTCGGGGAGATCGTGGAGAAAGTCGGGACTTCGCTGCTCCGGACGGGCCCGCGGCCGCTGCGGCTCCTGGTGGGGGACACGGGGCTGCTCCCGGATCAGGTACGGGATGGGGGGGTGAGGGCAGAGGGATGAACCGGCAGGAAAACGTGGAGAAGGCGAGGAAATTTTAACGAGATAAATCAGGAGTGGGGAGGCTTGTGTGTGCCTGGAGAACCTTGAGGAAGGAGGAGGGAAACTGGTGGTGTGTAGGGAACACAAAATTCCAGGGACAGGGATGGATGGGCAGAGAAGGACAAATGAGGAAAAGGGGGGGGGTGGAAGAGCGTGATCCCAACCTTCCCTGTGCCCCCCTCAGGTGAAGAAGGCGCTGTGTGTGCTGCTCCAGCACGACCTGGCGCGGTTCGAGGCGCAGCCCCGCGGGCCGGTGGAGTACGAGGCGCGGAGCCAGCGGATCCTGCGGATCCTGCGCTACCCCCGCTACATCTACACGGCCAAGACGCTCTACGGGGACCCCGGCGAGCTGCTGGTGGAGGAGCTGCTGCTCCACGGCCACCTGGCCATGAGCTGCGCCGTCGCCAGGGTGGCCGACCGCCTCACCGACACCATGGAAGGTGGGAGGGGAAAAAAACGGGAGCGGGTTTGGGAACGCGGCCCCAAAGAGTCTGCAGGGTGTTGATGGTCGTCCTCATACGGCTCCCCTTCCATCTTAGACGGGAAATCCATGGATTACTCCGAGGTCTGCAGCACGTTCGCCCGCCTGGCTGACACCCACTTCATCCGGAGGTGCCCGATGGCCCCCGAGAGCCCCCCGAGTGCCGAGGGGGCAGCGCCGCCCCCCGCGCCCGCCCTGGCCATCGCCGAGAGGGACATGTACGCCGTGCCCCGGCTCGGCCTGGCCGGTGAGGGCATTCCCGGGGTCTGGGGGGGCCTGGGAAGGCCCCACGGCCCTGGGAGACGCCGTTCTTGGGCCGGCAGGGAAAGGGAAGAGGAGCCGCTCGTGTGAGGAGGAGGAGGAGGACGGGCAGCGCAAGGCCAAGAGGCAGAGGCAGGAGGAGGGAGGAAGCTCGGAGGTACCGGGAATGCCGGGAACTCACTTTCCTTGCCTCCTCTTCCTCACTTTTCTTGTCTCCTCGTCCTCATTTTGTGCCTTGTTTCCCTCATTCTTCCACCTCTTTTTCCCTTATTTCTGCGTTCCGTTTCCTGGAGTTTTGTGTCTCCTGTTCCTCATTTTCCCGTCCCTGTCCCCTTTCCCTCATTTTTATCCCTTTCTCCCCCCTCTCAGCCCCCGCCGGACGACGGCATTTACTGGCAGGTGAACCTGGAGCGCTTCCACCAGCACTTCCGTGACCAGGCTCTGGTCAGCGCCGTGGGCAGCCGCATGGACCAGGTCTGGAGCAGCTCCCCACCCCATTCCCGCTCCGGATCCGGCCTTTTCCCTGCCCTGAATCCCAAATTTCCCCCCCAGACCAGCAGCGAGGTGGTGCGGACGATGCTGCGCATGAGCGAGGTGACCACGGCCTCGGGCGCCTCCCACACCCAGCCCCTGTCCTCCAACGAGGTGGGTCCCTTGGGAACACCCCCTGGCAAGCTGGGAATCCCTTGGAAATCCCTCTGACATTCCCTGCTTTTCCCCCCCACAGATATTCCGGGCTCTTCCTGCCGGCTATAACATCGGGAAGCAGGTGCTGGACCAGTACCTGGCGCTCCTGGCCGATGATCCGGTGGGTGAACGGCGCTCCGGCCACTCCAGGGCTTTTTCCAGCCTCTGGAATTTCCCAGCTTCCATGGAATTTGCTCTGGCTCTCCCAGGGGAAAGTGGGTTTTGCTGAGAGTTAACAGGTTTTTAATGGATTCTGACAAACTTTATTGGAAGTTTTTTGAGCAGGTATTGAAATTATTTATCAGGAACTAAAGTTACTCTAAAGAAAATATTGGAGGTAGTTATCAGATATTGAAGATACTTAGGAAATACTGAAGATATTTAAGAAATATTCCAGATAGTTAAGAGATACTGAAGTTATTTAGCAAATACTGAAGGCATTGAACAGATATCAAAGGTATTGAGCAGATATTCTCTGGGGATGTCCTGAACTGTTCCCTGCTGTCTCTCCCTGCAGCTGGAATTCGTGGGGAAGTCGGGGGACAGCGGTGGGGGCACCTACACCGTCAGTATCCTTTGAGGGGGGGGGTGTGGAATTGGCGTTCCCAGGCCTGCAGCATTCCCAACCTCTGGAATTCTCCTTGACCTCATCCCCCCTGCAGACCTGCACAAGGCCCTGGCGTCCCTGGCCACGGCCACGCTGGAGTCCATCGTGGAGGAGAGGTGATGGGGGAGACCTGGGAGCCCCCCTGGGCAGCTCCAGGACCCCCTTTTTCCCCTCATCCCGCCCCCTCCCACGCAGGTTTGGCTCCCGCTGCGCCCGGATATTCCGCCTGCTCCTGCGCAAGAAGCACCTGGAGCAGAAGCAGGTGGAGGATTTCGCCATGATCCCGGCCAAGGAGGCCAAGGACATGCTCTACAGGATGCTCTCGGAGAACTTGGTGTCCCTGCAGGTGAGGGAGCGCCGGGAATCCCGGAGGATCCCCCCGGGAGGGTTTCCATCAGCTTCCAGGGGAACGCTCTGGGAACAGGGGGATCCCGCTCTGGGGAGGGGTCCCTGCCACGTCCACCCCTCTCCCTCCCGCAGGAGATTCCCAAGACCCCGGACCACGCCCCGTCCCGCACCTTCTACCTGTACACGGTGAACGTGGCGGCGGCCGCTCGGATGCTGCTGCACCGGTGCTACAAGGTGAGTCCCCAGGGCCATTCCAGCCTATCCATGCGGGAATTCCCAGGGAATCCAGGTGTCCCAGCCCCCTCCTTCCCGGTGCCACCGTCCCCAGGTGTCCCCACGCCCCTCCCAACCCCCCCCCCGTCTGCCCCCCCAGAGCGCCGCCAACCTGATGGAGCGCCGGCAGCACGAGACGAGGGAGAACAAGTGAGCACAGCGGGGCCAGGGCGGGCTCTGGGGCCACCAGCGCCACGGCCACGTGTCCCCGTGCCCCTCGGCAGGAGGCTCCTGGAGAAGTCCCAGCGGGTGGAGGCCATCCTGGCCTCCATGCAGGCCACGGGCGCCGAGGCGGCGCAGCTGCGCGAGGTGGAGGAGATGATCACCGGCCCCGAGAGGCAGCAGCTGGAGAGCCTCAAGCGCAGCGTCAACAAGTGAGGGGGGGCACGGGCAGGGGGGACAGGGCAGGGGGGACAGGGGTGGGGACCCCCACGGTGGCTGCCCGTCATTGTCTGCCCCCAGGATCGACGCCAGCGAGAACCAGGTGGACGAGACCATCTTCGTGCTGGAGTCGTTCATCGAGAGCACCGTGAAGAGGCCCTGAGGGAGGGACAGGGATGGGGACAGGGACAGGGACCAGCTGCTGCCACTCGTGGTGCTTGTGCTGCTGTGGGGAATAAAGCAACAGTCGCTGATGGCACCTGAGCGTCACCTGGGGATGGGGACACCGGGGACATGGGGACAGCTGTCACCCCTCGGTATGGGTGTCCATCGGTCACCCCTCAGTGTGGGTGTCCATCGATCACCCCTCGATTTGGGAGGGGGGTGGGACACGCGTGTTTCTGGGGGGATATTTTGGGCACGCACGTGCGCTCGCCCCGCCCCCCACGCTCCGCTTGCGGCCTCGCGCCCAATCACAGCGCGCCTCCCCCGTGACGCCTCAAAAAGGGCGGGGCCAGCCCGGTTGCCGCGGCAACGGCTCTTGCTGTGACCGCGCCTTTGTGTGAGTGACACCCCAGGTAACGCCCCTCGCCGCCTCCAGAGGCTCTCCCGGGTCTCAGCGGGACCCCGCGCCCCGCCCGAGGTTCCCCCCGCTCCCCGTGGCCCTCCTGACCCCCCGAGGGGACCCCCCGGTGCTCCCCCCCGGCCCGTTCTTGCCCCTCCTTCCCCCGGTGCGGCCCGGCCCTGAACCCGCCACGCGCCCACCCCGTGACGTCATCACACCGCGCCCTCCGCTCCAAGATGGCGGCGGCCGGGAGGGGCTGAGCCGGGCCCAGGCACGGACCGGGAGCGGGACCGGGATCGGGGCAAGGGTGGGGTTGGAACGGGGACTTGATGCTGAGCAGGGGCTGGGCCGGGACCGCATCCGGGACCGGGGGGGCTGAGCGGGGGCCGGGGAGGTGCCGGGGCCGGGCGGGACCGGGGGTGGGCAGGTGCCGTTACCGGGGGGCGGGCGGTGCCGTTACTGGAAGCACCGGCGGAGTCAGAGCCGGTGTCGCTCCCGGTGATCCCGGCGGTGTCTGATCCCGGCTCCCCCCTCTCTGTCTCCCCCCATCCCTTAGCCCCGCCATGCCGCCGCTGTGCCCGGCTCTGCCCCGCGCTGCCCCCGCGATGCTCCCCGCAGGCTCCGCGTCCCGGCCCGGCGCGGCCGCCGCGCCCCGGTGAAGCCCCCGCGATGCTGCGGCGGCTGCTGGAGCGGCCGTGCTCGCTGGCGCTGCTGGTCGGCTGCCAGTTCGCCTTCGTCGCCTACTTCTCGCTCGGCGGGTTCCGCAACCTCACGGCGCTGTTCGGCCGCGGCACCGGGCCCACCTTCGACTATTCCCGCACCCACGACGTGTACGAGAACCTGAGCCGCCTCCTGCCCCCACGGCCCCCGCCATCAGACCCCGCCAGACCCCTCCCCTTCTGCCCGGAGAGATCGCCCTTCCTCGGTGAGGGGGGAACGGGGGGCCATGGGGGGGTTTGGGGGGATCTCTGAGGGGGGAAATGGGGGGTTTGGGGAGGATTGGGATGGGGGGGAAAGACTCCCAGAGCCGCCTCCTGGTTTGGGATTGTAGGGGGACACAAACCCTGAGGGTCCCATTTTGGGATGGGGGATTCACACCCCCAGGACCCCCCCGGTTTGGGACTGTGGGGGGGCGGGACAAATCCCGGGTGGGGTGGACATCACATCCCAAACCCCGCGCGCCCCCCCTTCACCCCGCTGTCCCCCTCCCCTGCAGTGGGTCCCCTGACCGTGACGTTCTCGCGGGTGCCGTCGCTGGAGCAGATCCGGCTGAAGAACCCCGGGGTGGGGCCGGGGGGGCGGTACCGCCCCCCGCTGTGCGAGGCGCGGTCCCGCACGGCCGTCATTGTCCCGCACCGCAACCGCGAGAGCCACCTGGGCCACCTGCTCTACTACCTGCACCCCTTCCTGCAGCGCCAGCAGCTCCACTACGGCATCTACGTCGTGCACCAGGTCCGGGAGGGGGGGTTTGGGGGAGGATTTGGGGGGGTCCCAGACCCTCTTTTTCACCCCCCACCCCGTGCTGGGAGTTGTGCGTGTGATGGGATGGAGATGAACGATGTGGGGGTTTTGGGGAGGGGGCCGGGTGGGGGTGAAGGTGGGGATCTTAGGGGTCCCAGGAGGGGCTCAGGGAGGTTTGGAGGGTCCCCAGTTCTTCCATCCCCCTGTTCCCCCCTCTCCAGGCCGGCAATTCCACGTTCAACCGGGCCAAGCTGCTGAACGTGGGGGTGAAGGAGGCGCTCAAGGACGAGGACTGGGACTGCCTGTTCCTGCACGACGTGGATCTGATCCCTGAGAACGACCACAACCTGTACACCTGCGACCCCTGGAACCCCAAACACGTCTCTGTGGCCATGAACAAGTTCGGGTACAGGTGGGTCAAACCCCCCCCGAGGGTTTTGAGGGGGTCCCCAGTGCTTCCCCTTTTCCCACCCTCTCAGGGTGAACTGGGTGAAACTGCTCAATGTGGGGGCTCAGGAGGGTTGGGGGTTCTCTGGGGGGGGGTTCTCTGGGATGGGGGGACAGTGGCTGAGTGTCCCCCCCTTCCCCCAGCCTGCCGTACCCCCAGTATTTCGGGGGGGTCTCGGCCCTGACCCCCGACCAGTACATGAAGATCAACGGGTTCCCCAACGAGTACTGGGGCTGGGGCGGCGAGGACGACGACATTGCCACCAGGTGGGGACACGGGGGGGGGCTGCTGTCCCCTCCCTGGGGCTGGGGGGGCGAGGCAAGGTCCCACTGTCCCCTCCCTGGGGCTGGGGGGGTGTCCCACTGTCCCCTCCCTGGGTGTCCCTGTTGCCCGTGTCCCACCCCCTTGCTCCCCTGTCCCTCCCCAGGGGGGTGTCCCTGTCCCCTCTCATGACCCCGTGTCCCCCCAGGGGGGTGTCCCCATGCCCTGTCTCCCCCTGGGGGATGTCCCCATGCCCTGTCCCTCCCCAGGGGGGTGTCCTTGTCCCCCCCATGACCCCCTGTCCCCCCCCAGGGTGCGCCTGGCCGGGATGAAGATCTCCCGCCCCCCCGTCTCCATCGGCCACTACAAGATGGTGAAACACAAGGGTGACAAAGGCAACGAGGAGAACCCCCACAGGTCCTGGGGGTGGGGAGGGGGCTCTGGGGGGGCTCAGAGGTGCCATCTGGAGGGGCAGGAAGGGACCTGGGAGTTGGGATGGATGGGAAGCTGAGCAGGAGCCAGAGGGTGCCCAGGGCGGGATTGGGGTGAGGGCTGGGCTGGATGAGCTCAGGGGGCTTTTCCAGCCTGGCTGATCCTGTGATTCCATGATCCTGTGATTCCACGATCCTGTGATTCCATGATCCTGTGATTCCATGATCCTGTGATTCCATGATTCCCTGACTGACCCCCTACCCCGTGCCCCCCCCCCCAGGTTCGACCTGCTGGTGCGGACCCAGCGCATGTGGACCCAGGACGGGATGAACTCCCTGACCTACGTCCTGCTGGAGAAGCAGCTGCAGCCCCTCTACACCAACCTCACCGTGGACATCGGCACCGACCCCCGCAGCTCCCGGGGCCCCCCCGGCCCCCCCGGCAGCTCCAGCCGCTTCCGCCAGGAGATGCTGCGCAAACCCCCCCGGGGGGACCTGCCCCTGCCCCTGGGGCTGCCATGGGAGGCTCTCCTCGCTCTCAGCAACATCACCCGGGGCGTGGGGACCCCCCCGGGCGCGGCCCCCACCCGGGGGGGCAACCAGAGCCTGGCACAGGGACCCCCTTAACCCGCCCCCCACCCCCACGGACCGTGGACTCAGCGCAGCGAGACCCCCGGTGTGGCCTCGCTGGATGGACTGGGGGGGGGCTGGGGGGGAGCCCTGAGGGAGCCAAAGGGCTCGCCTGACCCCATGGGGGAGGGGTCTCTGGGGGGTTGGGGGTCCCCAAATCCGGGCGCGCGGGTATTTATTGTATTTATGAGCCGCTCCCCACCCCCCCCCCCGACCTTTGTAAAGGGTTTTGTTTTTTTTTTTTTTTTGCAATTATTAAAAAAAGAATCACTTTGTCCTACAAAGGACACGGAGGGAAGGGAACAAGGGGGGCTCAGGGGGGTGTCCCCAAGAGCCCCCCCACGGCGGCCTTGGCGCTGGCGATGCAGTCGTTGACGGAGACCCCCGAGTAGGAGGCCCCGATGAGGCTCAGGGGGAGCTGCTGCTCCTTCACAAACTGCTTGATCCGCTCTGGGGGGGTGGAGATGGGGTTTGGGAGACCCCCCACCACCACCCCAGGGACTCCCCCAGACCCCTGGGACCCTCAACAACCGCCCAGGGGTCATCCCCCTCTTCCCACTCCACGCTCCAGAATCCACCCCAGGACCCCCCTGGTAACACAAACCAAGCCCCAGGGCACCCCTCCACACCCAGGACCCCTCTGACACCCCAAACCGAGCCCCAGGGACCACCCCAGACTTCAGCACCCTTCTGGCACCCCAATTCATGCCCCATGGACTCCCGTCCCCTCCCTGCAGACCCCCAGGACCCTCTTACCGACGCGCTGCCAGTGGCCCAGCGTGTACTGGGGGATACAGTCCTGTTGGGGGACAAGGTGGGGGGGAACAGGTGAGCCCTGTGGGATCCTTCCCTGCGCCCCCCAAACCCCCCCCCAAACCCGTCACCCACCTGCTGCACCCTGACGATGGAGCGGGCGGGGGTCCCGCCCAGCCCCAGGTGGTCCCGCACGGCCTCCTGTGCCCGCCGGAGCAGCAGCGCCGGGGCCGCCCCCGTTGGGTCCCCGAAGCTCTGCCGGAACCAGGCGCCTCCCAGCATCACCTGGGGGACACCGAGAGCCCCCCAAAAAATCACCCCCGGCCCCCCCAAAATCACCCCGTGCTCCCTCCCTGGGACTCGGGTGGTCCCACACAGCATCCTGTGCCTGCTGGGTCCCCGCAGCTCTGGCGGAACCAGGCGCCTCTCAGGACTCTGTGAGCCCCTCAAAATCCTCCCAGGACTCCATGAGCCCCCCAAAATCCCCCCGGGACCCACCGTGAGCCGCACCGAGGGCGGCCCGGCCCCGTCGTGCTGCGGGAAAGCCACCGAGTCGTAGACGATGCCCAGGAGCGCCGGGTCCTCCGAGGAGGGGACGAGGTGCCCAAACCCCTGTGAGGAGGGGACACGGGCTGGGGTCACCCCTGGGGGGCAGGGGACACCCCTGGGGGGCAGGGGACACCCGCGGGACCCCCCCCTCACCGTGACGGGCAGCAAGACCCCCTGGTACTGCAGGTTGACCACGGCCACGGAGGCGGCCGGGATGTGGCGGAGCTCCCGCGCCAGCGGCTCCACCTCGGGGGGCAGCGCCTCGGCCAGGGCTGGGGACGAAGCAGGGACATCAGGGGACATCAGGGGACATTGGGGGACATTGGGGGACATCAGGGGACATTGGGGGACATCAGGGGGGACTATGCAGTCCGGCCGTACCTGCGGCAGGGAGGGCGCTGACGACGTGGTCGGCGCTGATGGTGCCATCGGGCAGGGTGAGCTGATGGGGGGAGAGAGAGAGGGGTGGGTGGGGGGCACGGGCGGCACCAGGGAGGGGCCCCAAGGGGGTACCGGGAAGGGACTGGGGGCACCAGGGGGGGTTCCCCACCTGCCAGCGGCCGTGGCGGTGGCGCAGGTGGCACAGGGGGCTGTGACAGCGCAGCTCGACCCCACGGGGGGCCAGGAAGGCCACGAGCCCCCGGGCCAGGGTCTCCATCCCCCCCCGCAGGGACCACTGGCTCCAGCGCTCGGCCCGTGCCCGCTGGGCCAGCTCCGAGTCGGGGCCGCGCGGGGTCCCCTCACCTGCGGGGACAACGCGGTGACAACGCCCGGGGGGGGGGCCCCGGGGGGATCCCCGGCCCTGCTGTCCCCACAGAGACCCCCGAACCAGAGCCGAGCAAGGGGTGACACCCTTGTCCCCTCATGTCCCCAGGGGGTCCCCACCCCAGTCCCCACCAGATCCCAGTGCCAGCTCCACCACACTGTGGTGTCCCCAGTATGTCCCAGTGTGTCCCCCGTGTGGCCCAGTGTCCCCAGTGTGTCCCAGCGCCATTTCCAGCAGCGTCCCACTGTCCTCACTGTGTCCCCAGTGTGTCCCCAGTGTGTCCCCACCGTGTCCCAGGGCCATTCCCAGTGTCCCCAGTGTGTCCCCACCGTGTCCCAGGGCCATTCCCAGTGTCCCCAGTGTGTCCCCACCGTGTCCCAGGGCCATTCCCAGTGTCCCCAGTGTGTCCCCAGTGTGTCCCAGGGCCATTCCCAGTGTCCCCAGTGTGTCCCAGTGTCCCCAGTGTGTCCCCACCGTGTCCCAGCGTCATTCCCAGCAGTGTCCCCAGTGTGTCCCAGTGTCCCCAGTGTGTCCCCACCGTGTCCCAGGGCCATTCCCAGCAGTGTCCCCAGTGTGTCCCACTGTCCCCACTGTGTCCCCAGTGTGTCCCCACCGTGTCCCAGGGCCATTCCCAGTGTCCCCAGTGTGTCCCCACCGTGTCCCAGGGCCATTCCCAGCAGGACGGATCCTCGGCTCCTCTCAGCCCGGAACAGGGCCGGGAAGCAGGAGCGGGCACTGAGGGTCCGGCTGTCCCCGGCGAAGACCCCCCTGCACAGACTGTCCACGGCCACCTCGGCCACCTGCGGGGCCACCACGGGGTCACCGCGGGGCCCCCGGGAGTGCCGGGGCCCCACCCAGACCTGCAGGGGGCTGATAAACCGGG